AGTGATGTATAGAATTGACACAGATAACACACTTATTTCTACCGTTCCCTCAGTGACGTAAGGTATTGACACAGATAAAACATTTATTTCTACTTTCCTCTCAGTGACGTATAGAATTGACACAGATAACACACTTATTTCTACTGTCCCCTCAGTGACGTAAAGTATTGACACAGATAACACACTTATTTCTACTGTCCCCTCAGTGATGTATAGAATTGACATAGATAACACACTTATTTCTGCTGTCACCTCAGTGACGTAGAGTATTGACACAGATAAAACATTTATTTCTACTTTCCTCTCAGTGACGTATAGAATTGACACAGATAACACATTTCTACACACTCTACTGCCCCCTCCCTGAATAACAGTATTGACAAGGATAATAGCACACCTATTTCTACTGTCCCCTCCCTGAATGAGAGTATTGACATACTGATAACGCACCTATTTCTACTGTTCCGTGATCAGAAAGCTATTATATAGTGTTTTGTGAAGTGGGTTAGAGTATAGAGCCATCTTACAAAGAGATACTTTTATCTTATGATACAATTACACGTTCAGAAATGTTGTCTGTACAACTTTCGTATAGATATATAGTTAACATTTACCTATGTATACTTGTGGAAATACAATGTTGCTCTTGAGAGACAAACATGCATTCTACTGTCCCCTCAGTGACGTAAAGTATTGACACATATAACACACTTATTTCTACTGTCCCCTCAGTGACGTATTGAATTGACACAGATAACACACGTATTTCTACTGTCCCCTCAGTGACGTAAAGTATTGACACAGATAACACATTTATTACTACTGTCCCCTCACTGAATAAGAGTATTGACACAGATAAAACACTTATTTCTACTGTCCCCTCAATGGTGTATAGAATTGACACAGATGACACACTTATTTCTACTGTCCCCTCAATGGTGTATAGAATTGACACAGATGACACACTTATTTCTACTGTCCCCCTCAATGGTGTATAGAATTGACACAGATGACACACTTATTTCTACTGTCCCCTCAATGGTGTATAGAATTGACACAGATGACACACTTATTTCTACTGTCCCCTCAGTGACGTAGAGTATTGACACAGATAAAACACTTATTTCTACTGTCCCCTCAGTGATGTATAGAATTGACACAGATAACAAACTTATTTCTTCTGTCCCCTCAATGGTGTATAGAATTGACACAGATGACACACTTATTTCTACTGTCCCCTCAGTGACGTAAGGTATTGACACAGATAACACACTTATTTCTACTGTCCCCTCAGTGACGTATAGTACTGATACATATAACACACTTATTTCTACTATCCCCTCAGTAACGTATAGCATTGACACAGATAACACACTTATTTCCACTGTCCCCTCAGTGACGTAAAGTATTGACACAGATAACACACTTATTTCTACTGTCCCCTCAGTGATGTATAGAATTGACACAGATATTACACTTATTTCCACTGTCCCCTCAGTGACGTAAAGTATTGACACAGATAACACACTTATTTCTACTGTCCCCTCAGTGATGTATAGAATTGACACAGATAACACACTTATTTCCACTGTCCCCTCAGTGACGTAAAGTATTGACACAGATAACACACTTATTTCTACTGTCCCCTCACTGAAAAAGAGCATTGAGACAGATAACTGCTGTTCCGTGATCTTAAAGTTATTATGTAGTCTTTTGTGAAGTGGTAAGAGTATCGAGACACAATCCTACAAGATACTTTTTATCATATGATACAGGTAGACGTTCAGAAATGCTATTTGCACAACTTTCCTATAAATATGTATTAAGTAATAATATCGTCTTTTGTGAAGTGGTTAGAGTATCGGGACAAAATTCTACAAAGTGATACTTTTTATCCTAGAATACAGGTAGACGTTTAAGAAATGTAGTTTGCACGACTTTCGTATAGATATGTAGTATATATATGCATGAGACCCGTAGATTTAGATGTACATCAATGTATACGAACTAGTTGTAGTATAATGTTGATTTAGAAAGACAAAAATACTTGTTAAATAACTCACCCTTCTGTGTATTATGTGTTGTTTAGTTTCCTTCAGAATAACTTCTTTCGTTTTGTATGTTTACTCGTCAACGCCAAAAACTTTTTAACCGATTATCCGTTAATGATTCCACACAGCCTACCAGAGATTATCTACCTGTAGAGGAAAGTGGGGCCACTTATAGCGTTAATCCGGCATTACGTACTGTCCAGTCACGTGACGATAACGCAAGATAAACATGATTTGATTAGAGACCATTTAATAACTAACATACTACAGGTATATATTGGTCCTATCCGACATACATTTAACTAATAAATGTGTTGAAAATAATTTAGCAGGAATGTTAGCGAAACCTGTCTGAGCTGTATGTAAATTTTCAAGGTCCGATGCACATACATAGGATTTACATTGATGAAACGAACCTATGTAAAAGTCTCTAAGCGTGGCTATCTAAATTCTGATGAGTTGTTCGACTTTCAGTTTCTTATTTCAATTCAGTCCTTTTTATGCTTAGTATATTACCACACCTGTATGTTACCATGGGCACCAATAAAGAAGTTGTCTTATATAGGATTCAATCCAGGGAGTTCTTTTTTACTCACATATCTATCTGATCTATACTGAAGTCGCCCAACCGATCGGTATATTACAGTTTGTATCCATCAGGGTTGCATGAAAGAAATACTCGTTAGTATACATATATGTACTTCAATTGTACCTTTCGTCTTGGACTTTAAACAGGATATGATAGAGAATGGCTCAAGTAGAATGTTCATAAAATTTTGTGTGGAAACTGAAAAGAATATACATGTAGTTAGAATATATGTAGTCAGAAGATATATACATGTAGTTAGAAGATATATACATGTAGTTAGAAGATATATACATGTAGTTAGAAGATATATACATGTAGTTAGAAGATATATATATGTAGTTAGAAGATATATACATGTAGTTAGAAGATATATACATGTAGTTAGAAGATATATACAAATAAAATGTTTTTAAGATACAGTCTAGTACATTGAAAGTTTCAATTTTAACCATTAGCAATAAATCCCTTTTTGGTCCCATAAAGATTATTTATCATTCAGTTTATCATTTTTATATGCAGCAACTTTACAATAGTTATCAGACATTCAGCTAAAAAGAGTTAATAGTTTACACGTTTAGGCTCAAATTACCAAATATGGTCCTTTAAAATATGTTCACTTTTAAATTCAGAATTGACATAATGCGACAGTAATGCTTCAGCTTGTCGAAGATAACTAATGAGTCCATATGTATATTAAACCCCTTTGGGCCCATGGTATTCAATATGTTAACAAAAACATCCCAACTGTAATAAAACGATGATCGTTCACACTTCTGTGTAAAAAAAAAATCCAGTAAAAATTCACCAAGTTCTTTTCACCCCTTTTTGGTTAAAATATCCGCGGTGGTGGAGTGATTTAGGCGTCTTGCTGTCTTTATCACCACTGATCCTAGCTGTTAATAGGACGTAAAGCGGAAAAAACTAAATGTAAAATATGGCTCAGCATGTTGATTAACAGGCATACTGCATATGAACTTTAAAAAGAAACAGGTAGCAAAAGGCTTTCTGAATGTAGTGACCTCGTTCTGATTAAAGTCAAATAAATCCATTTTGGGCCTCATGAATTATTCAAGCACTTCCTGACTGCGGCATTTCACTTCTTGTAGCAAAACTTTAACAGAGCAAAATACCAAAATTATATCTGCAGTGAAACTGAAATAAATTCACCAGGAATTAGCTGTGACATTTTCATATTATACGTACATTAAATCTGAATTTTAAAGCATCGATGAGATATTGCTTATGAATGTTAGTTATTACTTATTTTGTACAACTTTGATCAATATTGCTGAATTTCTTGTTTTCTCAACTAAACAGTTTAGCCTACTTTTAAAAGTACAAAATTCAAAATGATAATGAATGCTCCTATCCGATGCCTATAAGAATTTTAAATGTGATCTTTGGTCATTTAACTTTGTTCAATGACCGCTTTGAAATGATATGGTGTAAAACTTGTTGAGGTATTCTCAAGATATGAAAATTCATTTTTAACAGAACGGAAAACGACAGAACGAACGGACATATAACACTGATCCGCTAATGCAATGGTCAGTGTATTTCATATTTTTGGAAAGATTGTACGGCGAAAAAGCTTAGATCAATCAAACTTATATTGGAACCGGACTTTACTGAGGTCAAAGCAATATTAAACTCCTCGAAATATCAACTTCATTTAGGAAAATAAAAATCGCCGACTCATTCCTTTTCGGCGGATATTAAATGCAATAGTCATATTTAAGTTTGATCGTTAATTTCTTCTATTGAAATTGTTTAAGATTTCTAGTACGTTTTTATCTCATTATAACAGATAGAAAATATACGTTGTCGCTCAAGATAATTTTGATTCAATTAACAGGTCGAGAGTTCTTATCTCGTACCAAATAAAAGTTCCAGACGTTCACACATGTGCTTTTTGACCAATAACTGACATGGCGGGTGTCTTCGATGTAGCAGAAAGCACTTACTCTTCTGAAACACGTGGTCTTATTTTTGCACTTTTTAGGAGTCTCCATGTAAATTGTTCCTTTGTTCATATTTTGTCCAAGTTTTATATTATTTGGGGTTTTATTAAGGTTATTTGACATGTTGGTATTTATTGTTTTGTTTTATTTTTCACAGACGGTACCAGATATTTACCAAAAATAAATATAATATGTTATGTTGGCACAACAAAAATAATTAAGAAATACTTCAAACTATGTTTCCATATAGCTTTCAATATAATGTCATAGATATATCAAACGGTGTGCACTAGTAATGTACTTTTTCCGGATTTATGTTTCCGGTCCGTTTCTGACAAATAAATTTTAGTATGAAACTTCCTGTCCTCCCTGTATACCCACGTGGAGACCCCTAAGGTACTTCCTTTTTTCCACCATGGGTTTACAGAACAAGGTGCTTGTGAAATAATGCTGATGATTTTTTATGTTTTACATACCCTCAGTCTTGATAATCAATTAATTGAACACGAAGAATTCAAACTTTTCACTTTTCTGATATAAACCAACTAAGAAATGACTCTGTGTTACGATAAAAGATCTTGAAACACAATTTCGTACAAGTTTGCCTATGTCGACCGCCAATGGCAATGTACACGCGCTCGTTTATTACGCAAATGATATGAAGTTAATACTTATGTGTATATATATCTATATAATAATTTGGGATGTTAATATCGCTATCTGTAAAATTTACTGTGAATGAGAGGTTGTTGATGTTTCAAGCAGGCATACCTTACTTGATAACAGTTTATTGGGAGCCTAACAACATGGACCTGCTTAGATTTATATGAAAAAATAACGATAGATACCCATTTGCATGTGCGCGTGTGTAATTACAAATATATATATATTATACGGGTGTACATTTGTGTTCCTATAGCCTTGTATGAGACGTGTTCTAATACACACGTTCAGTCAAATTACAGGAGTATGCAGCAGTCATTTTAAAAAGTCCGTGCTCTCGTTAATGATACACTCGCCGGTGAAATATGCACAGCTAACATGTGTTACAGGCTTATATATAGTAACTTGATTTTCCTAATCAGTTCGATGCATCTATGGCCAAATGTCAGCAATACATACTTGCTAATTTTTGTATTTGAGAATACTTGATCACTGAAAATAATTCGCTTAAACTTAATATTTGGTTTTGTCATCTTGATCTAGTATGAATTTGAATAAATTTTGATAGTGTTAATCAGTATTTTGAATTCAATTATTGCTTTTTATTTCAGCCCATCATCATTGATGCCAGGGGCCATTTATTGGGCCGACTGGCAGCCTTGGTTGCGAAGACCATTCTGCAAGGTACTGATTAATTCAGGTTATAGTGCTTTGATTTAGATATGAGAGCAACTTAATGACCTTTTTCTTTGTTTTTATGAAATCAACACTTTAACAATGAAATTTTAAAATGAAGTTGCTAATTTTTTATGTGATATCAATGAACACTGACAAGTTCGTATTAGCTTTACCTCAGTAATTCATTTTTGAGGAAGAGATGGACTGCTTGTTCTTGGAAACTGTGTTTGTAAGGAGTAATATTCTAAATATATCCCTTATTTCATGAAAGAAATAAAACTCATCCTATTCATAATATAAATGACTGCACAAATATCCTCATCAAATATGGATCCAGTGATGCATATACATAAATGTCTGAACTTCTGAAATAAATTTGAAGTTACTTTTTTTGACTGAGGATCCAGTTTTAAAATAATTAGGGAAGGAAGTAAGATGGCCATACCACTTGTACAGGGGCATGGCAGTTTAATTGGTGGTAAAACATTCTACTAATGAATAAATGGTTGCTAGTTTGACTCTAGCAGTGATGCTGTGATGTGTCATTTGACAAATACTTTGCTTGTTCCAGTTGACTCAAATGTAATTGAGTATGTGGTTTAAGAGTACCAGAATTGTATTAAAGGTTTTGGTGATGAATGATAGCTATGGTTGTATGCTACCCAGAGAGCTGAGAAAGATCATAGCTGGGAGCAAAACATTCCATTAATCCCACAAATGGCTTTGAAACATGTTAAGACATTACTATCATTACAGTTGAAAGTTTATTGTCCCAGGAATTTGTTTAATATACCGTATTAATCCCTCAAATCAATTATTGATAAATTTATTGAGATTATACATGTATCAGTGATGTAAGAAAATGTTTATGTAGACGTGCAACTTTTAAGGTTTTTCTTTGTACATTTTCCCTATGTTTTCCTTTAATAGTAGGACTCACTCTATATATATATATGAATTATTCAAAGGTTTTTTTGATATGCTGCACTATTAATTTGCATCTTCAGCCGATTATCTTTTGGGTAGTGGGACATTGATTAGGCATCTTTCTCAAGCTAGTTGGTATGGATCACATGATGTATATCCTTAAATGTCTGAACTTCTGAAATAAATTTGAAGTTAACGTTTTTTACTGAAGATCCAATTTGAAAAATGTTTTCCCTTGATCTCGCTTAAAAGAAATATAACATAAATGTAATACTGTTTAAAGCAAATGTCAGTGTCGTAGTGGTGTAATAGTTGAGCAGTTGTACAATTTTCTTAGCTAGGCAATTCGGTGTCATAGATTTTGATGTTGAGGCCTAAACTGGGCTTTGGTAAATGATATCTGTGAAAATCAGAAATTTTTAGATAAACTACATCCATTTGCTCAATGATGTTTATTACCTACATTGTCTGATTTATGATTTAAGAACATTTCTGAGAGCTCTGGATTTAGTTTTATCATGGTGGTGTTTTTTGTTTTTTTTTTCTGATAAACATTTTGGCTCTAAGGGAAACAACCTTTTTCAGTGTAAAACAGTAAAATCACTGCACAGACATAGATATACCTGATATATCTAAATCCAATTCTTGTATTTTGATGATTTTTTATAAGTTGTTAGAAGTCGCAGTCAAATATGTATACAATTAAAGAAAATGCAGCATTGAAATGGCATGTTTTCAAAATGACATTTCCCACTCAGGTGAATGATGGATGCATAGTATCTTTTTAAGCAACAAGCACTTCATCTGTTCATGTGAAGATAAATGGTTAATATGGTGTGGTATTTTAAATCCTAGATATCTTGGTAACTTTTGTTGCTAACTTGTTGAGATCAAAGCAGCTTTATCACTAAGTTATAGTCATTATGCACCATTATAGTTTTCAGTTACATCATCTTATATTAAGGCTCAACTGTAGTTTCTTTTCATCAAGATTTGTACCTACAGGGCTAATTTGTGCTCACTTTCTTTCAGGACAAAGAGTTGTTGTTGTGAGATGTGAAGGTATCAACATCTCTGGAAACTTCTACAGGAACAAGCGTAAGTAACATCAAAACATGAATTCAGGATTCACAATTTAAGCTGTTTACATCAGAGTAACATCAAGTAAGGTTTTAGGGATTTAAAAGATTCACATGAACTTGATCCAAGTTGCATGCTGATTTTTCCTCAGTGTCCTTAGTATCAACATGGAGTCATTTAAGGTTTTAGGGGAACAAAATGAAAGATTCCCTATAAATAAGCTATGAGGGACTTCCTGCTGTCACCTCTAAGGTTTCGCAATTGATGCCCTTGTCATCAATGACAATAGGAGGAAAAGACTGTTTGATATAATTCATTTGGTTCTTCTGTATCTATTATAATTTTGTATTCCCAATGACCCCTGAATAAGGGCCAAAACCTCCAAAACCTGTGAAATTCCAGACTGTTTTTGAGGACTCCTGCATAAATACTTCTTTGATAGAGTATAACTCCAGTTTCAAAAATACAAGGAGGGACACTTATATTTGAAAGGTTCTGTTTTCTTAAAGTTGGTGGCCATTTTCTGTGTTTGATATCTTTAGATTCTGGTAACCCCATCTTATATTGACAGCACAAGTATGATGACCAAAACTTACCTACATTGTCTGATGTATCTGAAGACAGTATTGACTCTGATTGTGCTTGTTACAAAACATGATGAGGGACTAGTCAAATAAAACAACTAGAAAAAATTCCCAAAGTTGATGACCAAACAATGATGATCGGATATAATTAATCTTTGAATGAGCATGGTGATCGATATCTTGTGAACAATCATCAATACCTTAACATTTTACTTTGTTGTAGCCAACAATAAAGATGCTTATTGCCTAAACTTTTCATTATGGTGCAAATGATGGGTAAACGAGGCATTTTATTTTAGCTATAAAAAATATAACATTTCTACAAGGAGATTGCACTAATTGACTGAATATTGAGTTACAGTCAAATGATTGTGATTGAAAATAACTACATTGGAAAGCCTCAGTTATGGTTTTGCATCCGATATGTCATCTCTAGTTGGTGATAACTCACTATATCACAGCTCACTGTTACACTAATTATATAATTATGAAGATGACTTACCATATTTTTTGGATTATAAGCTGCAGCTTTTATCCTTCGTGGTCAGAAATATATTGTGGGGGGGGGATGAATGTTTCAGTACACCAGTACCAGACGGTAATGAGTTTTTACCAGTACCCATCCTCATGAGTTTGTGACTGAAACAGATAATCTTGAACCGTCATTTGCAATCGTATTTAGGATGATTTTAAGATAGAAGTAAAAATAACATTCTTATGGATTTCATAAATCATACCTTTCAACATGAATTAATATGATCTTTTGAACTTTCATAGTTGCTCCAGCAGAAGTTTACAATAGATGCATCCTGGGATCAGTTCAAATTCTAGAATGACTGCCATGCTTGTTTGTGATCAGAATGATTTTGTGTAACTCACAAGAAATAATATATGGGACTATTAGAATTTCATTGGCATGCAAGGGCTTTCTCTAATATGTAACAGTACAGGCACTAATAGAGATATTGTTAAGTAAATTGTACGTAATGTCGGGCCCTATATCTGTGCATAGACAATCTTTGGAGGCTTTTGAAATCTCTTTGTTATGACATTTAACTGCAAAGAATACACTTTTACATTTTTTGCATTCATTAATCTTAAGGAGTGTTGAACTTTTCTTTTAAGAATTTGTAATATGGTTCATCAAATCAAATCCTTGCTAAATTGTTCCCTTTAATTGTTGTGGTTGAATGTATGTCAACTTCACAATAAAGAGGATTTTGCCATTGTCACTGTATATAGCATGCAGAATGCCTCCTGATGCTTCGGCATCCTTTGGACCGTTAGATAAATGTTGCACAAATGATGACCAAAACTTACCTACATTGTCTGAAAAATATTGATGACAAACATACTCTGAATGTGCACAATATGAAATAATGAAAATTATGAATTTGATATTTTTATTATCTTGGGTGCATGACTTCAGGTGAATACATATTTAAGTATTTTTCTTTCATTTTGTTGTAGTGAAGGTATTGAAATACCTGAGGTTGAGGTGCAATGTGAAGCCAACAAGAGGACCTTACCATTTTAGGGCTCCCAGTAAAATGTTCTACAAGGCAGTGAAAGGTATTAAGGGAACCATTTGTTAAGAAAAACCTACAGAGATAATGAAATTTTGGACAAATACATGATGACATTTCCTTACCTACATTGATTTAATTATGAAATCAATCATCTTCTCTGATGTTTGTCCTTTGATATAATCGGTTAATTACATATTCAATTACATTTATTATATAAAAAGTTGAAGAGAAATGACTCTGCCCTTATCCTGCCGTATATTCCATGCCTTGCACTATGGAATTTTCATGTCAGTTTGTTTTGGGAGTTTTATCAAATATAGGAACATCATCCCAAATTAACTTTCATATTTATAGACATTTACTGCTATAACTTGATATCATTTTGCTTAGGAAGTTTTTTTTCCGTAAATCGATGAAGTATTTTCCAGATAGATTTAATGACCAAGCAGCTATATAGGTGAGGTAATGAGGACACTACATGTAAATCTGTTTGATATGAAAAGACATTAAAACTAATATTACAAAATTTATAAGAAAGCATTTTGATCGGTTTAAAAATATTTTGTAAAGAAAGGGGGGAGGGGTTCAATGTAGTGAAGGTATTGAAATACCTGAGGTTGAGGTGCAATGTGAAGCCAACAAGAGGACCTTACCATTTTAGGTCTCCCAGTAAAATAATCTACAAGGCAGAGAAAGGTATTAAGGGAACCATTTGTTAAGAAAACCTACAAAGATAATGAAATTGTGGACAAATACATGATGACATTTCCTTACCTACATTGATTTAATTATGAAATCAATCATCTTCTCTGATATTTGTCCTTTGATATAATCAGTTAGTTACATATTTACATTTATTAGCATAAAAAGTTGAAGAAAAATGACTTTGCCCTTATCCCCCTGTATATTCCATGCATAGCACTATTGAATTTTTATGTGTCAGATTGTTTTGGGAGTTTTCTCAAATATGGGAATATCATAGCAAATGGGGCCTTTACAAACAGTTTTTCCATAATTATATGACCAACCATCACATTTGTTAGACCATCTTATCTTAAGGAATCCTTTTACAACTTCTGTATGATCTAGCACATGGATGTTTTTCCAAACTTGCATCACTGTCACTCTCTTCGGCAACAGCAGTCACCATCTTGCAGGCTTTTCTGATGCAAACATGAAATTTCCAAAGTAGATTCAATATAATTCAAAAAGGAAACAAGGTTAGCCTATCAGAATAGATATTAAACTTTTGGGCTGATCCATTGTAACTTTAAGAGAAGGATGTTACTATTTCAGTGCAAGAGTAGGTAATGTGCTTTAAAGTAAATTTGTCAAAGGGGAAAAGAGATTGATATAACTAAATATTTGACCTGCTGCTCAAACAACAATGATGAAACCTTACCTACCTTGATTATATAGGAAATAATTTTTTGATCTGATATTTGTGTTGTAAAAAAGTTTTGTGCTATTGGTAATGCTGATCATGTGCTATATGACATGTTAGAATATTTCAATTTCAACTTGAGTTGGACTCTATGCAACAACCAAATTTAGCTTCTTTCATCTGTCCATTTGACCAGATTAATATTGATGGTTCTGTGAGGGGAGAGTACCCTTGTTCGATGATAAATTTTAAAGAAAAGTAATCAAATTTCTTGCAGATTTGCAGACTGCGTCATATTGTCAGAAGAGCAACTCAATTCATAGCCCCATAAAATCAACTAAAACGAGGCTTGATGATTAAATGAAATTTATTTATAGGTATGTTGCCCCACAAACTTGCAAGAGGAAAGGAGGCTCTCGGCAGACTGAAGGTGTTTGAGGGTATCCCTGCTCCATATGACAAACAAAAGAGGATGGTTGTTCCTTCTGCCCTTAAAGTCCTGAGGATCAATCCATGCAGAAAGGTACCAAATGTTATTTATCCCAGAGGGCTCTCCCAGTAATAAATCTACATAAATGTACTAGAGTTCATGACTTCAAAACAGATCATTTTCTATCACACTTGGGTTTCCTGGCTATTTCTTCAAAGCAAATTATCAAATTCCATGAATAGTACTCTAATTCAAAACCTGGAGTCCAGGGATGAGATGGATGTTTAACTAGGGTAGATAGGTGTTATGGAGCTTATTAGAGCTGTTCGCTTCCAACGGAGCTGTTATTTACATTTGTCAAAACTTGTATCTTGTTTAATTCTTAATATATGGTTGGAGGATCACTGTAATGGTGAATTATGACTCATGTCACTCCCTGACTGTCAGTGTTGAGGTATGAACTTATTTTATTACCAACTTAGGTTAGTGTACCTTTCTGGGTACAATCTTCTCTCATACTTTCATTTCTACAAGGGAGATGATATTTTCCTTAGTTTCCTTATTTACTGTTTTGATGGCTACATCTTTGAACCAGAAGGGGATTATTGATTCATCACAATTTAACACATTGATCTTGTTGCTTGGAATTAGAAATTAACCTGGTCGATTCATGTTGAATGGTTAGGTTATGGTTTTTACAGCACTAAGCACTTTCTTGTATATCCAAGAAGTAAGCAGAAATGGAATAATCTTTCTTTTATACCATGTTGCTAAGAAATTGGTAATCAGATGTGAGTTATTTATTTTTGTAAAACCATAGATAAGTTGCAAGATATTATGTTTGAGAATAACATTTGATTGTTGGTAAGCACTGATCATGAAAACATTACTACACCAAAGCAATGCGGCAGGCTAAGGTTTAATGTTTATTGTCCGAGGTTGGAAGAATAATCTTTTAAGTTGTTAATGTCTCCAAATTGTGTCTGATCTGCCATGAAAATAGTATCATGTATCAAAACAAAGCACTGAAAATGTGAGATTCTTAAGAAGAAAAACGTATGCTTCAGTCTGGTACCAAAACATGTGATAGAATACAAAATTGAGACAAAAACAATGACTTATCATTTAGATACCGTTTCTCTGCAATTGTAAATTAGAGATTTAATTGATGTATCTTGTTGCATGGAGAGCATTATTTCAAATTGTGAGTTGAAGTATCTTTCTTCACTACCCTTTGCTTGTTGATGATGAGAAACCATGTCACCGAATCACATTGACATGTCATGAAACAGAATCATGTACCACCAACTGAGGCAGGCATTGGGAGATGAATATTTGTGTATCGTTTAGTATTTTGTTGTATATTTCAGACATTTGCTCTCCATGACAATTTGAAAATGATTTAGAAAATTTTAAACCAAAGCAGTGATATATATATATAGGGTGAACTTGCAGAAATATAAATTGATGTTACATTGTTAACATTTTTTAACCTAAAATAGGATGAAGTAGTTGGATTTGTTCCTTTCACTTCCTACATGTGTATTTGGTGATAAGTAAATACAGCAGTCATATTGATGAGTCAAACCTCATTTTACATGTATTGAATCTTGGCAGACAAATATGCACAAAAGTATTTGAAATGCGACTTAGGTATAGGTAAATGATCAGTTTGTTTTCTTCTCTTATCAGTATCTTGTGTCTACAGGGAAATTTGTAAATGAAAATCTTGAACATACTGTTACTATTCTTAATTTGAATTAAAAAAACATACTGTTTCTACCCTTTGCTTGTGGATGATGAGAAACCATGTCACCGAATCACATTGACATGTCATGAAAACAGAATCATGTACCACCAACTGAGACAGGCATTGGGAGATAAATATTTGCAACATGGGGAATGCTGTCATTTAGGTGTATTTCAGACATGATACAACAGTCTGTTAAAAAACCGATCGTATGGACTAGATTTTTCATTGTATGATATCTTGAAGCTATAACAAATGAAAATTGTTTAGTTTATTAGAGATTGAGTGGATAACCTTTAGCTTGTAATCTGTGACAGATTTCATGTGGTTTCTGTAGTATTGTACAGGCAGCTCTTTGGCCAAAACTCCAGATCTGTTTACTGTTGCTCAAACATCAGGGAAGTGTTTACGTCTTTAACATACTAAAGTGGACACCCAAGTATTAAACTGTTGATATATGGTGCTTTTATATTTAATCATTTTTAGTCCCGTTGTTATAATTTTCACATTAATGCCTGTTTATGATGAGAAACCATGTCACCGAATCACATTGACATGTCATGAAAACAGAATCATGTACCACCAACTGAGACAGGCACTAAAGGTCTATTGCTCTAGTTTCCTCTCGCAGTAAGACATCTACACTTTCTGTTCTAATTCAGGCAAGGAAGATCAATTGAAATTTCAGCAGCTTTTTAGTTTCACTTAATTGTTGTAAAAGAAAATCTGAACAAACTTTTAACTGTATAAAACTTCATTTAGCCACCTCCATTTTCCTTTAGTCAGTTATTACTAAACCATTTATATCTTTTGATGAAAAAAATTCACAAGAGAACAAAGTACACATCAAATAAAGTATATTTGTACGACTTCTGTATATTTTGTGCACATGCTTGTTAATGATGAATGAATTCACCGATTCATTTTGCGATGAATATGTGGCCATTGTCTTCTACCACCAACTGAGGCAAGCATGATCTGATAATGTATCTTCAAATTTATGTAAAGGCTGTATTATTTAAAGACGAATTGCCCAAGTATTAGTATGAAGACTTTTGACAATATGTACAACATATTTGTCTGTATAGTCTTAGCACCATAACAATTCTCCTGTAACCACAACTCTCATGTAGTGTGTACTGCCCCAAACTTCCATTAGTTTTACACAGATTAACATTGTTGTGTGTGTGTGTGTGTGTGTGTGTGTGTGTGTGTGTGTGTGTGTTTTTCTCAACGATGTGTATTTAGGTCGATAGGTCATGGGACGATTAATACTTTTTAAATCAATGCCTGTTGATGATGAGAAACCATGTCACCGAATCACATTGACATGTTATGAAAACAGAATCATGTACCACCAACTGAGGCAGGCACTAAAGGTCTATTGCTCTAGTTTCCTCTCGCAGTAAGACATCTACACTTTCTGTTCCAATTCAGGCAAGGAAGATTGATTCAAATTTCAGCAGCTTTTTAGTTTCAAGTAATTGTTGTTAAAGAAAAATAAAACAAACTTTAAACAGTTTGTATAACACTTTATTGCTATCCTTAAGTCACTTATTTCTTATAAATATATATCTTTTCATGAAATAAAAAACCAAGAGAACTAAGTACATGTCATATAAACAAAGTATATTTGTGCAACTTCTGTATATTGTGTGCACATGCTTGTTAATGATGAATGAATTCACCGATTCATTTTGCAATGAATATGTGGCCATTGTCTTCTACCACCAACTGAGGCAAGCATGATCTGATAATGTATCTTCAAATTTATGTAAAGGCTGTAGATTATTTGCAGCCAAACTGCCCAAGTATTAGTATGAAGACTTTTGACAATATGTACAACATATTTGTCTGTATAGTCTTAGCACCATAACAATTCTCCTGTAACCACAACTCTCGTGTAGTGTGTACTGCCCCAAACTTTCGTTAGTTTTAAACACAGATTAACATTGGTGTGTGTGTGTGTTTTTTTTTCTAAACGATGTGTATTTAGGTCGATAGGTCATTGGATGATAAATAATTTTCAAATCAATGCTTGTTGATGATGAGAAACCATGTCACCGAATCACATTGACATGTCATGAAAACAGAATCATGTACCACCAACTGAGGCAGGCACTAAATATTTGTCCTTTAAATTAAAAAGATTTTTTTAGGTTGTGGGATGGGATGTGTTGGATTATTTTTTGTTAACCAGTTGTTGCAAAAGTAATATATAACATCTTCTGCTCATTTTCAACTTAGTACAAAGAACTGCCATCATAATTAATATGCATATTAATTTTTGAAGGCATTTCATAATCATTTGCCCAAAATTTTCAAAACAAAATTCAAATTTGAAATTATCAATATCTTTTAGAAAAGACAGCTGATTGCTTCTGTCTGCACACATGCTTGTTAATGATGAATGAATTCACCGATTCATTTTATGATGAATATGTGGTCATTGTCTTCTACCACCAACTGAGGCAAGCATGATGATGGCATTTCGGATAACTGAAAGAAAATATTCGGATTTCAAATTTTTAACAAAGCACAAAGAATATCTTTTTAACATTTTTGATTTGGTGACTATTTCTATTGTCAGTTGTCAATTTATAGACTGATTACAGTCAAAGTGGCTGCCAATCATCCATCTTAAATTCAGACAGTAGACTGTACATGTGTGAAGTAGGATTCATCTCAGATTTCTGCATAAGAAGGAATCAATGTTGGATATGATTTTCATGAAGCTTGCTCCCTACGCTTCTTTCTTATCCCTTTCTTCAGGCTTATCAATCTTTCACACAATATCTTAACAACTTCAGATTCCATCAAAGTGTAGCAAGTTTACAAGATAGTGAACAGGACTGTTGTAATTTTATTGACTGACTGCGTCCCCTACAATTTATCTTATGGAAATAATTATCTGATTTTGGCCAAATGGTGGTTGTTTCCTGCTTATACATTTGTTCTACTGTTCTGTGAATCCTCCACTTGTTTGATGCCGCTGTCTTGTTCTTCAATTTTTATTGCACATGGTACATTGTATTTGGTTTTGTTGCCTAATGGCTATAGATAAACACTGCTAGAAACATATGTTAATACTGTGTATTGCAATGATGTGATATGCATTTAAGAGGGAAAAAATAGCAAAATTGAAAATAGAATTAAAATTGCCAAGTGGGGGGAAAACATGTGACTTATAACAGGTATGATAATAGAAAGCCAAATCTTTTCTGATTTTCTAAAGATATGTTTTGCATTTTCAGTTCTGCGACTTGAATCGTCTGGCACATGAAGTTGGATGGAAGTATCAGTCAGTGATTGCTACCCTGGAAGCCAGGAGAAAGGTCAAATCAAAGCAGTTCTACGAGAAAAAGAAGGAAACTGCTGTAAGTTTCTGAAATATTGTTAGGGTCCTTGATAGGGAATTGTTTGAAATGCTATTTATCGAATAATTTCTTTGTGTTGATCAGTTGGGTTAAAGTGATGTAGTTATTATCAGTGATGGTGATCATCACATTCAGTAGAAATTTTTCTGTGTTAAAAAAATGGTGATAAGATTGGGAAAATGAAGGATATTAGATTGAGAAAAAGAAAAGAAAAAAACTTGGACACCTGTTTTTGTGTCAAAAGTCGTTTAAAATACTGGTGACTGCTGTTACTGTATAACACAAGAAAAATGGGGTTTTAGGTTACCTGAGACAAAGTCTCGGAGTGACCTATTGCGATCCCCTTTTGTCCGATGTCATAAGTTGTAAACTTTTAACATTTTTTACTTCTGGAAAACTCCGGAACCAATTTCAATGAAATTTTACAGAAACCTTCCATAGGTAAAGGCACACCAAAATTGTAAATTATAAGATCCCCAATTATCAGGGGCCTGAGGGGCGGGGCCGAAATGGTCAAATTGATCGAAAGTTCAAAAAACTTCTTCTCAAATCCCAGGTATGGTAGAATCAAGTACTCTTCATGGATGGAAAGAACTTGAGATGCTATCTCAAAATTGTAAATTTCATGACCCCAGAATCTCGCATTCCCTTCCCTCTCCCCCCCCCCCCTATAGTTTATATAGGAAAATCATAGTTTTCAACATTTGTTTATTTTTCATTGGAAATAGTTAAATCTTATTAGAAATATTAGTTTAAGATGACAGCTAATGAGATGCAGGGGCTGATGGGCAGGGCCAAAAATGGGTCAACTTGACTGAAATTTCAAAGATGAACTACTATTCGTTGATGGAATATTTTGAACAGAAAAATTTTAATTTTGAGTGTAATTTCTATTAATTCAAACTTGGTAAGAAGACTTAGCATGTGAATGCAGTTAATGTATACACATTTTACAAGAAGCATTGTGACTCGGGTGACTATTAAGTCCCTTGGGTCTTTTGTTTAATTTATCATTAACGGTGAAAATGCTTTTTCTCTTTAAAGGTGCTGAGAGCCAAGGCTAGGAAGAATGTGGCATCCAAAATAGCACCATACCAGAAAGTGATTGAGGCCTATGGTTTCAGTTAAGCAGTGCATTATACATTAATAAAGCCTGTGGACAGTGATATCTAGTTGTTGATTTCTAGTGTTACCTTCTGAATTGTGTGGAAAATTATCCACACAACAGATCTCGTACGCTTACTCTAATTGCTCTGGAGGGCTTGTCACAGGCTCATAATACTTGTATGTTGTTATAATTATTGCATTAGCAACCAGTCTTACTAATGCATAGCCTGTCTCATACCAAGAGAAATGCATTACTGTATAATCTAACCAAAATGACACTGAGAAGTCATTATCATAGCGCCTACCAACTTTGAAAGTCTAAGGGATTGCAGAGAAGATCTCGAGACAAGATCAAAAAACCTTTCAAAAGCAATTGTGGATGATTCAGTAATTGTATTAAAAATTGTCCATTCAAAATGCTACACAGAAATCTGCTTTAAAATGCTTTAAATATGGATTGAAATTGTTTGAGAATATTTGGACATTGAAATGATAACAATAGAGAACATCATACTTTTAACTTTGGAAATTTGTGAAGCTACCGAGGAATATCCAAGACAGAAGGTGCACTAGTCCCTCCATACCGATAGTTACCTATACTCAGCTTTCAGATAAACTACACAAGACCGATATAAGACCAGACAAGCTCAAACTGGATAATCTAGGAAAGCTTGCTCTGGTTTCTTTTATATTGGTCCATGATCTGCCAATTTTCTGTCCGTTCTTAAAACTCTTGTTACCACTATTTCTTGAAGTACTGGATTGATAGATTCTCCGATATCACATGAAGGTGTCTCTTGTTCTGTTCCTCAGCATTACCCAGTTCATGACTGATTTGAAAAACAAAATGGCCAATCTCTTCACTTCATTTGTAGGTTAATAATTATTCTTTCTGCATTTTTCATTTTGGGACTGGAAGAAAACAAGATGGTTGACAGGCAGCCATATTGGATTTTTAGGTCACCTGAGTGGAAGGCTCATGGTGACCTATTGCCATCATGATATGTCTGTCGTCGTGCGTCGTTAACTTTTCACATAATATTCGACGACTTCTCTAGAACCACTGAATGGATTTTGACCAAACTTGGCACAAAGCATCCCCATGGGAAGCCGCTTCAAGTTTGCGAAGAAAAAGGGCGTGGCCCCAGGAGGGGGGGGGAGGGTAAAATTAGTTAAATCTTTAAAAATCTTCTCATGAACCAACAGTCGGATTAAGTTCATATTTGATATTTAGGGTCCTTATGGCAAGGTCTACAAAGTTTGCAAATGGAAAAAAACCGGTCCCACTAGGGGGCGCTCAAAAGGATAAAAAATTCAACCATGACGGATTTCAACCAAATTTGGTAGAAAGCATCCCTTAGTGAAGGACATGAAATTAAGTTGAAAAAAGTGATTATATCCCCTTTGGGCCCATAAGGTGTGTAAAAGGGGCCATATGTAAAAACCTTCATTAAATGACGACTTCTCAAGAACCAGTGGATGGATTTTGACCAAACTTGGCACAAAGCATCCCCATGGGAAGCCGCTTCCAGTTTGCGAAGAAAAAGGACGTGAGGGGGAAAAGGGGGTAAAATTAGGTAAATCTTTAAAAATCTTCTTCGCATGAACCAACAGTCAGATTAACCACTGGGTTTATCATGTCTAAACTTGAAACGAATGTTCTTCACAATGTCCTGGCAAATGTTTTAACTTTTTGGGGCGGGACAAAATCCATGATGGCCACCCTGGCCTCTGTTTGGCTAAGACATTTTGGACTTCCTCTCAAGAACCACTGGGTGGATCATGTTCAAACTTGGTACAGATGTTTTACATACGGTCCTGCACAAGTGTTGTTACATTTTTGCAACATTTTAAAATCCCCAGATTATTGAAATATATTCCTCAGGTGACCGTTAAGGCCCCTTGTCCTCTTGTTAACATTAGTAATTTCTTTTCACTCTTTCTGAGAGATTGTGGATCATTCTCAAACGTTGAATGCAAGTACACATATGTATTTTGTTGTGAATTTTCGGATTTCTTCTCAAAAACCAAAAGGTCTAGAAGCATATTTGGCCGATAGATCTCTTACTACCGATGAAGGGAAGGTGTGAACGTTTCAAGTACTCTAGTACTGAACAAAGTATTGATAGTATTGTACTGAAGTACTTCACCAATCGAATTCCTTAAATTTATGCAACAAGCTCTCTGATTGGCAGAGCCAAGTCTAGATCGATTGTGGGTGGAGCCAGGTGAAAAAATCCGTGCAGACACTCGACTGTCGCGAGAGGTTAATTGGAAGAGTCCAAGTCACAGGTGGCTTCAGATCAGACCTAATTGGGTTGTCCCATTTGTTTCGTTCTACACCCAATGATACCTTGCTTTTCCATCGATGGTACAACGAGAAAACGAAAGTTACTCAGTACTAAACTAATTTACGTACAATATATATATCAACAGGTTAGATCACTGGGACCGGAGAATTCATAACATCTTTAACAGTGAATATAGTCATATAGTCATTCTCTACTAGATTTTGTGAGAAAGCAAAATCACAAGTGTTTCCTTTTCGTCTCTCAGACGACCCAGTTTTTTTTTAAGGTAACTGTCATTCTGCGTCGATCCACAAATCCCCGAGTCGGATTTTGCTGCATCCGTAACGTCAATACCGGGACTACTAACAGTGTTTTCAAACTTCAGCCGTTTAGGTGGATGTGATGCGGCCGTGCCGGCATCTGCCTTCATTTTCTTTTTAAATGCACTTTTAGTTTCTGGCGTTTGCATGTTAATGATCTTATCTATCACCATTCGTTTGTACACCTGTGGCATTTCCATGGAATTTACCTCACTTGGTAATAAATATCGCAAGGTATTAAGATTGCTGACATCACATTTCTTGAATTCTGACGCATATTTCGCCAACCCTGGGTCAATCTGACGTAGAAAATTTTGCGTACTGTTGCCGTCGTCGGACATTTTTCCAGCGATTACTTCGTAATTGTTATGTAACTGATAGTGTACATTAACTCCGCCTACCGGTACAAATTGGGTGTCAGATCAACTATTCAGGTTGTCTAAACTCCGCCCCCGACCAATCACAGAGGTCGTTGTATACTTGACTCGATTATTTGAATACTTCAATACAATAGTATCAGTACTTTGTTCAATACTACAGTAAGTGTGTCGTTCACACCTTCCCTTCATCGGTAGTAAGAAGTCCAACAAAGTTTGCAAGAAGAAATTACCTTGAACCTGTGAAACCAGAAATCCGAGAAGCAGATTAATATCCAGTGGAAATGTGTAGATCAAATCCTTACGAGTCTTGGAAAATAGAAGAAAAAAAAACAAACAAATGGCATTTGCCTGTAATTCAGGTATAAACTCGTGTTCAGAGTCGAATGCTAAAAGCTGGAGTTTGTGGGGGAAATTTGGGAAAGGGCAAATTCATTAAATCCTGCTCCTAGAGGAATGATCGGGTTTTGCCCAAGTTTGGTCTAAAATATCCTTGGGGATCTTTATGCCCACAATTGTTTGTTCTTTAAAGGGTTGGATCTCATCCATTCTTTTCTATTCTTTCCTCTGATTTTGCTCTCAATTTAGATATTCATATCTTTATTCCTCCAAGTATTAAGAGCTAATGAAATACATATTAGAGAGATGCATAAGACATAATGATAAATAAGGTTGACTTGACAAAAGATAGTGTAATACAAAAAAAATTAGATACACCAACATATTTACTGGAAGGTTAGATGAGAAGCGTTCTCTGCATAGATGCAGAAGTCTCGTCCAAAATACAAGAAAAAGTTGATGTCCTCTCCAAAAATATCTTGAACAAGGTCAGGAGGAGAAACATGAAACATGGCTATTTGGATATCCCAAGTCGCCTAGTTCAGAGTAATGTAACTTAAAATTGAGCACATCGATCTCTGTTTTATTATAAAAATAATTCCGAAACATTTTTCTATCAAAGCATTAAATCCTGAAAACGCTGAATATGTTTGTCCAAGGGATAGGATGTAGGAAAACCAATTCCATGTTTAGGTTGCTATGGAGATTTGCAGTAATCAATCACATTGGAAATTTGAATTTGAGATTTTATTTATTCTTATCCCATTTCTCTCTAATAGAAAGAAAAATTGCTGTAAACAAAGATTCCCTCGGAAAAAACTAAGAACACTTATTCAAACACGCACACACACACACAAAATTCTTGTGACACATATTCTGACGCCTGTACAAAAAGAAGTGCAGCAACATAATATTGTTTTTTCTTTAAACTGCCAGATGTACACGTGGTGGTTATTGCCAACTGGCATAAAAAGGGAGAGAAATAGTAGAAATCATATAAAATTGTAGTTGTTCCATAGTGATGTCGACTTCAACTTTATAGTGAAATTAGATCTAACTATATGAAAATACGCAACTACAACTAGATCATTCAGTATAATTTTGTGCGCATTTTTTGCGTAATCTTTTAAACGATAGCTTTGCTCAGCTAAAACCCGGAAGTCAAATGTGAAGTTTAGACGGAGTTGTGTGTTTTCTTACGAGTAGACGTATTTTCACTTCCATCCTATTAATTTGCGTATTATGCCAGCTAGAAAGTGGACATCACCACATGAGCATGATATAATTGTTTGATTAGGAATCATCCAAATTTAAAAAGAAATGTTCATCAGTTGGCAACAGACAAAACGCACCAGGTATGGTGCTAAGTTGATTTATATATTTCGAGATTACAGGAATTGTTGTTTACTTTTTCACCCTAGAGCCAGTGTTGAATAAACACTTATGCATAAAAATTATCGAGAGCTGTTAATCCTCATTGCCATACCTAACAGTGTTCCATTTGCTACAAGCCAGGGTAAAAGATCCGAATCCGACTGCAAACCAACGCCCATGACCGTTGTACCCCGAGGTTCCCTTTATGTTTAATCTATACTGGACGTAAGACCTTAATTGTGGAGGGTTTTTTGGTGTATTTTTCGTCATTATTAGTCCTTTGTTTAATAAATGCTTGAAGGGGTGTTTTGTTTATTTGTATGTACATTTTTGGCAGCGGGCATTCCGCTCGTAAAAAACCCTGCCTTCGCTATAAGTGTAGACTATTTTACAAAAGTGAATGCGGGGGATTGGACTCCGGGGACTCAATGAATGAGAGGGTCAGTAGGAATACTCTCTGGTAATGTCTCTCTGGGTATCCTGGGAGTTGTCTCCCTTCGACTATTCTGTTTACCGTTTGTATTTTATCTCAGTAGTCGATCTTTCTTAGGAAATCGACGAGCAATCTATGCAATTATCTTTCATTTCCATATAATGTTAAAACCTGACTGATGGATGTGTATTGATTTTTTTATTCTGTTGAATTTGGCAATTATATTTTTTTCTTTCTTGATTGAATCAGGGACGTATAGATCTGTCATATACGTCCCTGATTGAATCTATTGTAATGTTGAAAAATGATGTATTGTCTCTTCTGTTTTACAATGCGTACAATCTGGTGAGCTACCTTTAAACAATACATTGATGTTACTTTGGACGGAAATGATAAGCCGAAATGGTTATTCATGTCTGTGAAGCCTTAGCTAAGGTGAAAGTAGGTCTACTCATATGAAAATACGCAACTATGTCTAAGTCCACATTGGACTTCCGGATTTCAGGTTAGATATCAATGGGCACAGCTATCGTTTTTGAGATTCAGTCTCGCACCTGTCAGATCCAAACGCACAACTGATTGCGATCGACTGTTTGGTAAACATCATGTCGGACGCAGGTGTGAGGAAAATCTGGGTGGAACTTAAACGCCTGGATCTTGGTAAGATGACGATTGACATGATGGAGATATGTTCCATGATTATAACGATTTGTAGATGTATTGATAAGCATAAAAATGTATTTTATAGTAGAAAAATCTTTTGTCTCCGAACAGTTTGACATGCTTACGCCATTTGCTTGCAATGGAGATCATAGATATAGAGCAGTTAATCTGTATTTCCATTTGAGTCTTGAATATGATACCGGTACAATGTCAATACAATGTAAGGTATTGTCTTTAGCACAAAGTACTTAACACATTTAGCATGTCACATCCTAGCTGCAATGTTGTAGTTCTATTAAAAAGATAATGTTGCACTGCAGATCTTTCATATAAAATAATTAATAAATATATGTCAGTACTGTGTTTTCATTTCATTTAATTAATCAAGTGTATTCAACATTATTTTACAATTTGTGTTGGTTGTTGTTGTCTCTGAAACCATACTGCTGTGACTTAGGTTAAGTAACTTCCATATTTATTTGTATTTTGAGCATGTACTTATCTCTATGTCTGTGATTTGGAGTTAGCTTTAAAGCTTTCTGTCAGCCAGTAAGATTTCTTATATTTTGTGTTGGTGTTTGCGAACAGAACCAAACAGTTTGACAGCAGTCACTAAGCATAATTCCAATCTTTATACACATAACATCCATGGTTTGCTTTAAAGTGCTTCTCATTTGACTTTTTTGTCTCTGACCAACTAGTTGTCAAAACCTTCTGACACTTAATCAACAAAATTACTCCTTCTCCCAGCTATAACTTATACTTGCTTCCTTTTATATTGAAGTTCTGTGGCATTAAAGGACATTTATACATGTGACTGAGGCAAAGTTCTGTGGCATTAAAGGACATTTATACATGTGACTGAGGCAAGAAAGACCTTTTTCTATCCAACATCCCAATAAGAACTAAATCTGGGTCAGAAAAAATGCTCTCTATCATCAGCTCAAAAATCTATATGTATAACCCACATGAATCTTGTGCTCCTTTTATATATATGGAATTGATGTGTTTAAAATTTGAAGCATTCGAAAGTGCATTTATTTCCTTTTTCAACAAATCAGTAAGGAAAGTGGAAGACTTTTGAGATTTTGAAGTCGTAAGAAAGTAGTTTGTGCTTTTAAAGAATTTGGAGTTGTCTCCCTCCAAGTGAGTTTGGCAAACTTGCTGTTTACAAGGCTTTATTTTTGCATGCAGATCGTTTTGCCTATATTCATGATGAAAGCTGAACTTGAACATTGAAATCGTGAATTATAATGTAGACACAACAAGTTATTTGATGGATAGTTTTATACGTTATGTATTGCTTTTCTGACATTCAAATTACATTGAGGAAAAACCTTTGGCTATGACACTGTTGGTCATGTAAACTGATAGCTAATTGTGATCATTATATAATTGTAGCTCTAGATACAGACCTTGTTTTCAGATTTTTTTTTGTTTTAAATGGAAATAGTTGCTGGTTAGTATCCCTATATTAAGATGCCAGATAATCAGTTAATCATTTACACATATTTACTTTCTCTGTGAATGACATTTTGCTATAACTGTTTCAGAAGATACCCCAGAGTACAAAGTTACCCAAAGTATACAAATCCGAGAAGATTACGGATCAGATGAGATCAGGTCCATCATCAAGGATACTTTTCAATTGCATGATGATAACATGGTGTTGAAGGTAAGTCCTGTCATGTTACCAATAATTTCGTGGTCATTTTGGGAGGGATAAAGTAACCAAAAGATTCATATATTTATTCAGTGAGTACAAGGAATTTTTTTTCAGTGATGGTACTACTAAATTTTCTTTGGTGGGACTGTTAAATTTAGACATAGTCTCTGTTACATTTAGGCTTTAGAGAACAAAGATTAATCATATTAACAATTAGCAATATAGTACTTCAGCTTATTACTTACTGACTGACAAAAACGTCAGCTAAGTCTAAAATCTAAATAGTTGCATTACTTTTTAATATGGTTACATAAACAAATGTAATTCATAAAGTGGTTTCAAGTGTGGAGATTCTTTGTCCTCGAAATTTTATAATGGAGAATTGTTTAGATTCTTTCCTGATACAAATATAGGTGTAGATGTAGGGAGATACCTTAACAGTTCTGAATTCTGAAGGTTTAGTTCAGATGGTTTGCTTACATGCCCTCCACATACAATGTGAAACACAATTCTGTGATGGTTGGTGTGAATCCTATAAATGTAACTTTGTTGTACTTCTGTATTCATTAATGTTCTGGAAAATTTATTCTAATTGTTGATGAATTGTTAAAATCAATAATTATATTTCTAATAGACTTTGAGCCAATCAATTCAATTGTTACCATGGTTACCAATTGAAAATTGATGACTAATATTGAAGCCAATTCATACAAATATTTCCATTACGAAAAGCTTTCACTACACATATTAATTTCAGATAAAAAAATATCACTGACAACAACATATTGTATTGAGCATTGAGAGTTTGATACATACTAGTATTGATAATATCAGATATATTTGTTTTTGAAAAATCATGACTATATGGAATAAATACCTTTTGGTTTTGAAGATAACCTTATGTAACCTAATCCCCTGCAAAACACATTTGTGAGGTTATTAATTTCAGGCATCTGTACATACATCCAAGGGCCTTTTTCTGGCTATAACTTCTAAACCGTTCAACTCAACTTCACAAAACTTTCTGTGTATATTTGGTTAGTGCATTCTTTGTGCCTTTTTCTATTGATGACATTTTGTTTTTCATATTTTTTCTGTTATCATTGAAACATAGTCAAAAATTAGTGTTAACTTTCCTTTCCGGACTACAACTTTGGAACCATTCCACTCAACCGTACAAAACTTTTTGTATATATTAGATTAGTGTCCTAGTTGTGCCTTTTCTTATTAGAGACATTTTGTTATTTAGCTTTTTTTCTTTTACCATGAAATTTTTCGATTTCTTGTGACTTCTTGTATTACTCCAGAGTTTATAGAGTATTACCAACCTCTATTCAAATATCAACAGTCAAGCACACAGGAACTACATCAAGATATAAGCTCTTACTATAAGGTTGATATATAAGATAGACATATATACAAGATGTTGAAGTTGAGGAGATGAAAGGAAATTTAATTAATCAGTGCTCCAGATAACTTTTTGACATGTGGGGTTTTCATAGACCTTTATAAATTGAAAGACATCACAAATTGTTATACTGATATATATATATATATATAGAGAGAGAGAGAGAAATATTTGCTATGCAACTGGTTTATAATCACAACCAAATATATCGCTTGTTACGTTTTCAGGCCTACGGCCATCTTCAGGTGATTACATTACATGTACACTGTACATTACTTAGTAACCTACATTGTGACGTTATGTTATTGTGATAATTTTTTTCCTAGGGGAAATTATGTTATTATTGTGCGTGAAAACGCATTCACGCAGGCTATCTGGAGCACTGATTAATAATTGATAAAAGAAGCCATTACGTATTAGATCTTCAGGCGATAGAAGCACTACATAATTGAAAGACATCACAAATTGTTATACTGATATATATATATATATATACATAGAGAGAAAATTAATCACTTAACATGACAACCAAATATATCACGTGTGATACCTGCTGGTATACAATATACCCAGGTGTGATTACATTGTGATACATGTGACACTGTACATTACTTTGATAACCTGGTGTGATACCCATGTTGATACCTGTGATAATAAATATACCCAGAGTTGATAATGCTTATTAATATTCCCAGGTGTGATACCCAGTGTGTATAACTGCTGGTATACAAAATACCTTCAGATGATTCCTGATGTTGTATATAATATAATATATGCTATATAATATACCCAGGTGTGATACCTAGGTGTGATACCTGCTGGTATATAATATACCCAGGTGTGATACTCAGGTGTGATACCTGCTGGTATATAATATACCCAGGTGTGATACCTGCTGGTATACAATATACCCAGGTGTGATACCTGCTGGTATACAATATACCCAGGTATGATACCTGCTGGTATATAATATACCCAGGTGTGATACCTGCTGGTATACAATATACCCAGGTGTGATACCCAGGTGTGATACCTGCTGGTATACAATATACCCAGGTGTGATACCCAGGTGTGATACCTGCTGGTATACAATATACCCAGGTGTGATACCTGCTGGTATATAATATACCCAGGTGTGATACCCAGGTGTGATACCTGCTGGTATACAATATACCCAGATGTGATACCTGCTGGTATATAATATTCCCAGGTGTGATACCTACTGGTATATAATATACCCAGGTGTGATACCCAGGTGTGATACCTGCTGGTATACAATATACCCAGGTGTGATACCTGTGAATATGTACAAAAATATACCTTTGTGAGATGTGTACTTCACACATATTCCCATGCTGGTGTGATATATGTAGATGTATACCTGTATGCATATATTTAAATATGATGTCTGCCAGTGTTTACACACTCATCCCCAGGTGAAATGTAAACCTGGCAGTATGTTCCTACACTCAAAGTGTGATACTTGCCAGTATACATGTTGTACAGCTACACACATATACCCAGGTGTGATACCTGCCAGTGTTTACCTACACACATATACCCTGGTGTGGTACCTGCCAGTGTTTACCTACACACATATACCCAGGTGTGATACCTGCCAGTGTTTACCTACACACATATACCCAGGTGTGATACCTGCCAGTACGCACATACATTCAGGTTTAGCACCTGTTAGTAGAAACCTTCATACATTTTCCAATATGTGATACCTGTCAATGCTTACCTACACACATATACCCAGGTGTGATATCTGCAGATGTATGCCTACACACATATACCCAGGTGTGATACCTGCCAGTGTTTACCTACACACATATACCCAGGTGTGATACCTGCCAGTACGCATAATACATTCAGGTTTAGCACCTGTTAGTAGAAACCTTCATACATTTTCCAATATGTGATACCTGTCAGTGCTTACCTACACACATATACCCAGGTGTGATATCTGCAGATGTATGCCTACACACATATACCCAGGTGTGATACCTGCCAGTACGCACATACATTCAAGTTTAGCACCTGTTAGTAGAAACCCTCATACATTTTCCAATATGTGATACCTGTCAGTGCTTACCTACACACATATACACAGGTGTGATATCTGCAGATGTATGCCTACACACATATACCCAGGTGTGATACACATTATGTATACCTGTACTTTCACAGTATCTTTAACAGTACACAAACCTTGATTAACATTGGTAATACCTTGTATATATTCTGCAATAAAACTTAATTGCTTTCTGTTATTTAATACAGAACAATAGAAATATCCACCATAAAATGTACACAATCTGGTGATTTAATTCCCTTCAGATTAAGTTTTGGATTCCAGCCAATCTTCTTAGTCTGTGTACTTGTGTAGATCTGAAGCTGAACCCTGAATAGCAGAAATCAGATTACAATACATGTTGGGTTACTTATATAGGGGATTGTTGGCATGTAATGCAAATCTCTTAAAAGAAAAAAAATGTGCACATTTAATCCTCTTAATTCAGTGAATGCTTTTTGCTTTTGTAATACTTGTGTAAAATGTTTTAACGATAATAATACATATCTAGATCAGTAACGTGAAGATGTAGACCTTGTATATATAATGGCATGTTTTAGTCGATATAACATTACTATAGAAGTTAACATTATAACATAGTAACAAGGTAATAAATTCATTTCAGAATTCTCAAGAAACACTAATTATTGCTGCATATTGTACTGTGACATAAAGTATGATAAATAGATAACCATGACAAAATTTCTTCTGTATTGGAACATTTGTGATGCATATAAATGCAGTTATCTCCCTTCAGCTGTCACAATACCAATAATTTAATTTAAACATCTTGGGATTGATTATTGAATGAACTCAATGGTGCCCCTGCATGATGAACAAAATTTTCCATAAAACAGACTTATTTAAAATCACTAATTTTTATGATTGAAGAATTAATCATTCTTTCAAACGTTCACTAATCATCTTTCTGACTTAACTACATAATTCTTTCAAATGCATGGCGTGATTCATATTCAGCTTGCAACATGCACATTTATTAAACTAAAGTGAAATTTGTGAGTCATACCATGCATGTGTAATTGTACTGCTGCACCTTGATAGTGATATCTAATCTAATCCCTGAATAAAATCCTTTTTTTGTATGAATACATGCTAGACTTTTTATAAGAGATTAGGTGCCTGACAACACGTGAAGGAGGGAAGGGAGGATAAATGTTTGTGACAGGTGCATAGTGAACACATACATTACAGTTTGTAGAATATCAAGGGTAGACGTGTAGTGAGGAGATAGAATTGTTGTCAAGCCTTTCCTTTGCCTCTGTCTGGCTTGCTACACATGTTCACATGTAATTTATTTAACTATTAATTATTTGCTACTTTAAAAATATAGAATACTGAAAGTTTTGAAATACGTAAGTAAAAAGGTAAAATTACTATTAAATCAATTTACTTCCAAAATCTGTGTAAAGCTTCTATGTTTTTCAGTATATAAAGACAATGTATATAGATATAATGCTGATGCAGTACATACTACAATGTTCAAATTTAATATCAGCGCAGAGG